CCGTAAAAAAACACCAGTGATGTTAGCAGTAATAAGGGCTGTTTTACTGTAAAATACAGATGGAGGAATTTATGTCAGTCCTGGAGGACCCCCCCCAATCTTACCTTGAGCAAAAGCTTCCTGCACATCGCCGCCCACCCCAGCCAGGGAGTCTTGAGGAAGGTACATGTGGGCCTGAGGAGACGCGGCGCTTACTGAGCGAACGGGTGACGGGCTCGGTCGGGACGGGGAGGCGTGAGAAGAACCGGCTGCCTGAGCCTGTGAGACCAGATAGCAGATCATGCCATGCAATTGATTGTGTAGCACAGAAAGAAACTAAACACTAGTGAAACAGAACCTAGGTCATAGTTAGAAAACTAAAGCTACACCTACAGATGCAGCTCAATAAGCCGTAAAGTCACAGAATAGTTTAATCATTTCAGTAATTCAAATTAAACAGGAAATTTAATATTCATTACACACATAGTGATTCCTTTGATGATGATTTACAGATAATAAAATCTCCAAATTCCCTGAACACTTTAGCAAAGAAGTATCAGTTTTAATCTCATATGCATTTGAGGAACGAAGATTTAAATCAGTCCCTCCTTAAAAATGTCCACTTAAGAAAACACAAACGCATCTGAAAACATGGCACCTTAAGCCCTTAATTAGAGGGATTCAAGTGAATTCAGCAGCAAATAAGCAGCCATTATTATCTACGAGAACATACACAACCTGTGCAGAGTGGTGGCAAAATTAGACCGGTCTCAATTTTGGCAGGATGCCGGAGCAAAACCATAGTAAAAATGGAGAAATTACATCATTCCATTAGGAAACCCAATGGTCAAATTACCATGTTAAAAATAAAATATGCGAATATATCAGTAATTACCAACATTAAATCATTTACTGGGCTGTATATAATATCTCAAGTAATTAAAGCGGAGTGTGCATGACGTCATCCATGCACGCCGGCTACCGTTCATTCTTCCTGTCCGCTGGACTGCAGCTAGTTTTGCTTACATGCCTGGAAGATGTCTAGTGCTACTACCACAGATGATTTGTCTCTCGAAATGGAATTGAACGATTCAGATTAGCTAGCCGAATGAATATACGGGGTAGAGCGTAGCCGTCTGTGGCCCGGGCTGCCTGTCACAACTCCAGTCCGGCGCACGAATGACGTCACACAAGCCGCTTTGTTTTAAAAAAAATATAAATGTAAAAAATATAACCGCGGATATCTGGGGGACAGTGATTGGCCTACATGTTATGAATGCTAGCGTACCATAATGGATAAATTATGAACAGTTTCGTTTGTGCCTTCAAGTTGTTGCTCATAGGAAGACGTTACTTGGATTACAAAACGGAATATCTTCAGAACGGCTCCAAATGACACAAAACTAATATGGGTGAGTAGAACATGATGTAATAACGTAAAATCAAGGGGGCCAATGTAAAAAAACAAAAAACAAAAAAAAAACTGTGTTCCCCTTTAAAACAATGCAATTAATCTTTAAATTAACAAGAACAAGCAACAAATACAGCTTATCTACACTCGGTGTGCGCAGAATTGATTGTAGTAAAAGCTTTAGCTGTTCAAAAATCCATAGGAGGAGTTATCTTAGTTGGACTTCTGTTTTTATCGTTGTTTGTTGCACAACCTGCAAATGCTCTTCAAATCTCCTCTGGGCTTTATTTCACCGGGGAGCAGAGGCGGTACACTAATACACTGGGAAGAAGTCACTGAATCTTACTTCAGTTTGACAAGAGGATTATGGATCATTCATTCCGGTCCTTTTGCCTCTAAGCCAAAGTAAAGCCGGACATACACTGTGCAATACAGCTCAAACTGTACGATGAAACCGCAGGGTTTTAAAAGTTCACAGCTCACAAGGCATGTTCTCACACTGTGCGGCCCGACGCTCTGATGCGATCTACCTGCTCACACTGTACGTCCTAAAACCACACGTCGGACTCAACATACGAGAGATGGCACTGCTCTGACTCGTCATTCCGGAAGACGAAGAAAAAAATCGTACAGTGTGTGCCCGGCTTAAGATGCTTCTAAGGTTGTCTGTGGTTCTGGAGAAGAGTAAAACAAGAAATGTAAGCAGCTGAGGCCCATTTTTCTGTTTTGCTGGTTTTTAAGTCTCTGACTTCAGCTGCAGTTCACGCAGCGGATATCTGGATCCTTTGCATCTTTTTCTACACCCAGTTTTCCTTCCACTTAACTTTCCATTAGAGAGACAACTCTTTCAGCAACCATCTTATATGACTTCCTGTCATCGTAAAGGGTGCCAATGACTGTCAGCAGTCTCTGTTCTTTAATACTGTTTTTTTTTTTAAGCTTTTATTATCAAAAGGAATAAAACCCATTAAACATATGTGTGTAATGAATGAAACTCACTTAAATGCAGCTTTATCTCCTAAGACAACGGCTTAATTTCAAATTAAGTATAGGATCAGAGTCCCACTTTTATTTAAGCGTTTATCAGAGAAAACAGGCATAAACTTACTGCCTGTCGCTGTTCCTCATCCTACAGGGCCACATCAATGGCCGCCAGACACAGACAGGGAAAAAATAGGATGGAAAAGGACAGGTCAAACAATCAGAACTCAAAAAGGTGAAACTATAAAAAGGAGGAAAAAGAAGTGAAGAGGGTGTTACAGAAAGGAGAAACATGGAGAAACGGAGAAGCAGGAAAGCTTTGTCCTCTAAACCCTGACACAGTGACATCATGAGCTCTTTATTTAGATTGTGTGTCACCTTGAGCAGCTTCATCAGCCCCTCCAGCTGTACCATCAGCTCCCTCCTGCTCTCTTGCAAGGAAGACATCCTCTTCTCCAGTTCATCTTTCCTCTGTCTGGGACACACAAACCAACACCCCATTACTGTCTCAGGAATAAATAACTTCAGCACAGAGTCACTGAGGGCAGACTCTGAAAAACCCAAACAAGAAAAGAAAACAGATTTGAAACAAGACTAAAAACAAGCCTGAACTTCATTCCAACTCTTTAAAATTCCTCTTTTTTTATTACTTAAAAGTAAATGAATGGATAGAAAAAAAACAAACTACTTTGATTAATATAAAACAAGACTAATTGTCCATATTAGCTACTGTACAGTCAGCCTCAATGAAGGAGAAGCCTGCATGAGAGTTTTGCTGTGGGAAAAATAAAATCCTGACATTATGGGTTGTGAGCTTGGATTAACGGAGATCAAAGGACAGGGGAAACATTAGGCTTCAAATCCCCAGCAGCGTCTAAAGCACACATTTTCTACCCTGGGCCTGAATGGCTACAGAAAATGAGGACAAACGGGCAGGAAAAGCCTGAAGTAGACGGGAAATGCAAAGGTTAGACAGACATCTTCAACCTTCCTCACTTTGTACTGACTAAACACCTTTGTGGAGCAAATCATTTTCTAAAATAAAAAAAAAAAATAAAAAATCAATAAAACAAAGACTGACTGTCAAAGCAGGACTTTCTGCACAATGCAAAAATATTGATTTACATACACAACACATAAGCCAGTTTTTGCTTACAATTTTAGCCGATAATAAAGATGATCAGCCAATGTAGGAAATATTTTTACCCTTAAGAAAAGATAGGTAAATATTTTACCCATAAAATAAGGTGTGCATAGTAGAGGAAGTGGAGAAGTTTTTTGTTTTTTTTTTTACCTTCAATGTTAATCATCTTATTCTAATAGCAAATTATCATACCTGCTCAATCAAGAGAATAAAAGCTTATTTCATAGGAAAAATAAATTTTATTTCCGTTTTTGCAGTGCAACGTTGATGGTATTAAAGCAGCAGAATATTTTATTTTAACCCTAATAGCTTCCATTCTTATTTAAATAAATTAACAAATAAAGAAAGAAGAATTTAAGATTCATAAACACTCCAACGATCGCCATTTCAGGGGTTTTAGCGATTCCCCTAAATTGAATTTTTTTGCAAACACTTTGAGTTGTCCTACTGAAATGTGCTGCATAAAAAAATCTTTCCTTGCTTATAAAAACTATAAAATTTCTTCTATATAATTTATTATTTAACACAGTAATTGAATCTTCAAAACAACAAAAAAGACTTCTGGATATTACTGCCTTAAGAAGATATTAGAGGAAGAGCATAAACTTGCCGTATAAATGATAGGGTTCCCACATATTCCCTATTCCAGAATAAAATCTGGTAATAGTTTTCTAGTTATATTTATTATAAATATACAGGAAGCCACTAAAACATTCATTTTGGTCTAAGTTATAGACCAAATAACAGAGTGACATTAGTCAGAAACTAGTAACAGAAAATGAAAAGAATAGTAGAATGTAAACATTTAAGTTGCAGAAAATCTTTTTCTTTAATCTTAGAATATGAAATCATGTTATTGACCGACAATGGGGAAATTGTGGTATTTCTATTTATAGTTCTACTTATATTCTAAAACATAAGTATTTAATTTCTGCATACCAATTGTACATTTTAATATACCTGACAGAATTGAAAAACACAAAACTTCATGCTTTACAAGATGGTAAAAAGGGAAAATATAATGAACAAGTGACACCACTTCAGTTGAAAAACAAACAATCTGTAATTGGGCGCCCCCTTGTGGTATACTTATCATTTTGTCAAAAAAAGCTACTAGTTCATGAAGTCTGAAAAAAAGTCTAGCTCAATTTTAAAAGATATTCTTGGAAGACTCAACACAAAAGTACCTTAATATCATGGAAGCTTAGATTAATTTATCAAAAGTCTTGCAAAAATAAAAGGTTCATGTAATAGAGTTCTTAATGTAATGTAATAGAGCTTTCTTTCTTTTTTTCCTTTCTTTATTTTATTTATTTTTCTAACCAAAATAATGTTTTTTGTTTTTTAGGAAAATCCACCATCTGCCACTGCCATCTGCCCCAAGCAACTCTCCCTCTGGGTTAAAAAACACAACAAAACTTTAGCCAATTTTCACTTAAGGATGAAAAATGACATTCCCTGACATAGAATAAAGATTTTGCTCTGCTTAAAATATAAAAAAAATGTCAATTACAGTTATATAGTGTCATCAAGGCAAGTGCTGGTGTTTACCTGAGCACCCGAAGCTCAGCCAGCAGAGCTGGGTTGGTGCTGCCCCTCTCTGGGCTCGGCTGACACGCTGCGTCATGCTCTGCACGGAGACGCTTGATTTCTGCCAAGATCTCTCTGGGAAATTAAAAAAAACATGTTAGTCAGCATAGGACAGGTTTACATACACATGCCTCTAGTTTCTATTTTTTCCATAATAGTATCAAAACAGCCTGAGAACTTGGGGTAGCAGACATCATTACTTGCATGACGGGGAGGGGGGATATCAACACTGAGAACAGATTATCTTGGAAGTCATGTTCAGGGCTTATACATCTCATTTTCTCCATTGTTGAGACCTAAAGTTTTCATACCCCAGGCAGATTTTAAGTTTCTGCTAAATTCAAGTAATGTTAAAATTTTTATGTGGTGAGTCCAAACTTTTATTTGGACCTTAAATACGTTTGACTTCACATCTTTGGCACACATGGTGAAAGGTTTTGACATTCCTGTGATTGAGAATCTGTGGAGGGAGCTAAAGATTAGGGTTGTGGCAACCAGGCCATCCGAACACAGACTTGAACATCATCACCAAACATATATTTAAAAAAATATATTGGATCCATAAGGAGAGTTTTATCTCTGCAATAAGAGAAGACGACTAATTTACAATTCAGAAGGGTATATATATATATATATATATATATATATATATATATATATATATATATATATATATATATATATATATATATATATATATGTTTTTTTTTTTACATGCAATCAAAGAATAGAAATATGACAAAAAGAGTACGATTATGTTTTTTTTTAAACTGATTCTCCTTTTATATTGTCTTATATCCTCCTTTTATCTCATTTACCATCAGGAACAAATAACTTTATTTGTAAATCTGCCAGGGGGTGAATAGTTTTGGCCTCACCTGACCAGACTTTAGGCTTTTATTTGTGACATATTTTGAAACCAGGAATTCTTTGCCTTCTATTTAACATTGCTACTCTGTGTTTGTCTATAATGAAATCAAAACACAAAACGGTGAAGTTTGTGGTTTTACTGAAACAAAGGGTGAAAAGTTTTAAGAGAAATTGGTGTTTTTGGAAGGATGTGAACACATCTGTACCTGTTTTTACACTCCAGCTGAGCAATGAGCTCCCTCTTCTGTTTGTTAACATCGAAGTTGATGCTCCTTGTTGGAATCATCTAAAACAAGCACAAAGCCTGTTCATTTCCTCCGGTAAACAAGAAAAAAAAAAAAAGGACTAGAACTTTCTATGGATGCATTTTTTTTTTTAACAAACTGGTCTTCCACTCACTCCTGTGCTCTCCGTCTCTGCCAGTCGTGATGTGTAGCGAGCGATCAGTTTGTGCTCCTCATCTTGCCTGCTGGGGCTGTCTACTCCACTGAAACACACAAATATTTGGATGCTAAATATGGCAAAAAGGAATACCATCAATGTAGAAATGCATAAAAAAGTTCAACTAAGTTAGAATAAAATAACCTCTCACAGGAACAGCTGTTAGCACTGTTGCCCTTCATTAAGAAGTTCCTGGGGATATATCAAGGAGTGTGCATGGTCTCACTTTGCATTCATGTGTTCTTTCTGGGTACTCCGGCTTCCTCTCACAAGTTACAAACCAAGACTGTTATTGTTAATATATCGATCACTCTTAACTGCCCTTCAAAATGCGTATCTGTTTACATGTTAAATGAGTGAAGGACTGGCTCTCCCCTGATGAAGGCTGAGGACGGCATCCATCCATATATTAAAGCACAACTTTTCATTCCTCAAATCTATAAGATCTTTTATTTTGTTTATGCATGTCTGTTTTCATGAGGCAAATGAGAAGTTAAAACTTGTCACCCTGATTATCATCTGGATCCTGATCACAGTCATTATTAAAGTTGTTTCTCAGCATTTAAAATGTTCTCTCATTACCAGAATTTTGTCCCTTCCTGGGCACCTTAGAAGTGGATTACATTCTGCCTGAAGCCTTTGGACACTTAATAATAGCTCAGAAAAAACAATTTGAATGTTTGTTCTCAAATTAAAAGAATAAGCAAATTTTTAGACTTCATTAGTTCTTTTGATCTTCCATAAACCTGGACCCACCATTCTGCATGTTTTAGGTTTTTTTCTGCTGTTGCATACTTTACTTGACTTTAATGAACCAGTGATTGTCAAGTTTTTAAAGGCACTCTCCATAGAAAACCATATCTATATATCCATCTACGTACAGGATAATATTGACATCTATAACTGCCTTTTCTTAGCTGATCTCCAATGATCTTTAGGGCAAGAGGTCCATTTAATGACCAACCATACATGCACGTACTGTCACCTACAGGCAGTGTAGGGATACCAGGTTAGGTAACAACAGTCCTGTTTTTGGACTGCAGGAAGAAACAAGAATGCATGTGAAAAACAGACCACAGGCTGGGAGTTAATGAGCCCATATTTTCCTCATCCATTAAAAAACATGTATAAGCTCATGCTTATATACAAAACATTAACCTTCTGATGGGAATTAGTTCAGTGGAATTAATTTAACAATTAAGAGCCCATTTTTATGTAAACATCTTTCTCCTCTTACTTCCTCAGGACAATTAAAACTTTCTAAACCAGAACAGAAAGTTGCCTTTTCTAACCATCTGATCAGTCAGTCGGGTCACATTTTATTAAGTTAGCCTAAGAGTGAATTATAGCTTTTTGCATGTGCGCTTAATAAAAAAAGATGCTTTATTAGTGAATAAGGATGCCTAAACTAATATGCCTATATGCAGGTTTTTCACTTTCCAACCAAATGAATCAGAGGAGTCTGTGGGTCTCTCACCAGGGGCCGCTCTGCAGTCGATTGACATACGCTGCAATCAGGGCATGCTCTTCATTCATTCTCTGAGCTGCTGCCAAACTGGGTGGAAAGAAAAACAGATGGTCAGACTCCTGATGACCTGATTTTTTTTTTTTAAGAATACATGTTTGAGATTATTTCATCTAAGAGAAACTTGTACTTGATAAATTTATAAGCATCATTACATCCTGTTAAATGTCACTGTTTTTCTTTTCTGTAAAAGCACATTCCTGTTACTCATGGGTAGTTTTTTAATACTGTAATAGGGATTATAAGGCAATAAAGTTACTGATATTTTTAACTTTTAGTTGCTTGTGGTTATTTTTACAGTGAATGATTTATCGCTCAGAACCAGATATACCACCATTTTTGTAACAGAGACAAACTTCCTTAGTTGGTGATGAATAACTCGGCTGGTGACCATAGTGTGATTTCTAAATTGCTGAAAGGCAATTGAATTTCAACAGCTATACCAGAACTCCAAACTTGAGTAAAAGACGTGATGAGTAAAGCCAGATGTACACTGTACGATATTTTCAATGTTTGTACTCAGCTACAGCGCAAATTACATGATGAAACCGCAGGGTTTAAAAGCTAACAGCTTAGGATGTATGTTTTTACACTGTGCAACAATCTGATGCGATCTAACTGCCCACACTGCACATCCAAAAACCACACGTCAGACTAAGCGCTGAGAGATGGAGCTGGTCGGAAATGTCAATCTAGAAGAAGGACTCCCTCCTCTGCACATGCCCAGTGCTCGAGGTTCTGGTAAATCAGCTCATAGATGACCGTAACTCTGCTTTAACAACCGGATTTGTCCACAAACGCCTTACAACGGCCAACTGAATTTCAAATATGTTTGATTTCTCCCACCTTACTATTCCTGATCGGAAGGTGGTGCTAAGAGGCTAATCAACCCTCGTAACCCCCTGTATACTACACAACGCAGGACGCACTATGAGGCTGAAATTCGGCCCGATCCAAAAAATTCTCACACTACTGGAGAGTCGGCCGAATAGGGGGAAAAAATAAATAAATAAAAACAAATTGTACAATTTATTACAGTTATAATCGTTAAACTAATCACTATTAGGTTTTACTAGGGATGGAACGGTTTATGAACGGTTTACCGTTCAGTTCGACTGTCTCGGTTCGGTTCGCACTTTATAGGTCTGCTGTATGGGACCACTTTGCATTTAGAGTGACCTACGATGACGGCGGAAAGAAAGTTGTGGATAAAAGTGCAACAGTGTGCAAGCATTGTGCAACACGTTTTGTTTATGCTAACAGCAAAACGATCAACATATACCGAACCGAAAACCGTGACCACGAAACCGTGAACCGAACAGAACCGTGGATTTTGTGAACCGTTCCACCCTTAGGTTTTACACTTGGTTTAAATGACCTAAACTATAACTTCCAGTTGTAGTTATTCAATATATCCGTGTTCTGATGATAAAATTGCACAACTTTAATCTCACTGATCCTAAATGTGGCTCTGCAGACAATTTATGAAACCATCAATTAAATTTTTTGGCTATAATTATGAGGTGATTTTCTTTTAACCATTTAATAAATGGTTTGTTGAATACTAAAAGAGAATACAAAACAGTGAATTCATTGGATTAGCTCTGACCTGAATATTTACAACTAAGTATTAGTACATCTCACATTTAAAACAAGAAATAAAAACTATATTCAGTTTGCCATTTAGTTAAGATTAAAAAAAAATCATTAAAACTTTTAAAGTATAAAAATAAAAATTAGTGTTGATTAAATGAGAAAAAAAAAACGGGGCATAAAAATGATTGATTTCGTCAATGAAAGCCTAACTGAGTGTTTTAACTGTAACATAAACAAACCAAAACAGAAACTAAGCAGTAAAGTTAATATTTCTCTACTCTTTGTGTCAGTCTTTACCTCTTTGAGGACTCTGGCACCGACGAAGACAGCAACATGGCCTCGTTGGTGTTCCCAATTGGTCTGGAGGGGCTAAAAACAAACGTACGCATCTGTTAAAACCTTAGTGTGGTTAGTTTAAGAAAAGCAAGGATAAAATAACTAAAACTTCAAAGAACAGAGAGCTCTCTTTCAGAAAACACACATTCTCACACTCTCATATCCACACAGGCTGTCACGTGATTCTGAGTGCATTCATGCAACAGTGAATTGTTATATAGTCTGAGCAAACACGGACCGGTCAAAGATCGACAGAGGGGAAAGAAAAAAAAAAAAGAGGGAGGGAGAGAAAAGGCACAAGTTGGAAAAGAATGAATGTCACTTTAAAAATAATTCTCCCCCAAAAGCATTAGTGACATACTCACATCTGTGCTTAGCTCTATGTGCTTCCCTGAGTGTAATGTCTGCAGCTATGTAATGACCCAGTCTGCAACAGTTTGAACAATCGAACAGCTCTGATCCACCAGGAGGGGCGGAGCGACCAGAGTGTCTATTATTTAATAAAGCTTATCAGAATTTTCCAATAGCATTTGAATCAGTTTTAAAGTGCCAGCAGGTTACATGCTGAGACTAAACAGAAAGCAAAACGTCTTATTTAACGATGAAGACGCTGCAATATTTATTTGTTAGTCATGTCATTTCTCTACCATCTTGACTTCTGTAAAAAGCAATACTAATATTAAAGATTTATTTCCAAAAGTTACTTTTAGTAAAATTACTCAAAAACATCAGATGTGAATAATTTTTTTACTACAAGTGTTTAACAGGAAATGTCCAAACTGAATAAAAATGGAATTAAATTAGAATATATTATGGTGAAGCTAGTTTTTTCAGTATTTAATCAAATATATTATTGAAGTTTAACCAAAATTTACTAATTTGCTTTTTGTAATAACCCTTCTGTTATTAAACAGTGATGATCATCTCCTCCTGTTTACTCTGGAGAAAAAATAAATACAGTCTTTCATTTCAATCATTGTCATTTGTGTGTCGTTTCTGTGATGTCATACACTATGTTGGTGAGGTTAAGCGTCCGCTCAGGCTCCTCGGGGTAAATCGGGTGAGGCGGTTCCCTTGAAGATACACAGCCAAGAGTCCTGCTAAGGGCTCGACCAAGCTTCTTCGCTGGTGACTTCTGCAAACACAAATGTTGTACATGTACACATCATACCGTTTCCTTTAATAATTATTTATTAAGTAAGAAAAAAAAACCTGTGTTTTTGAAGGTGTTCGTGCTTTTTAAAATTTACTGGTGGATGGGATAATCTAAATCAGATTCCTCTCACTGTTGAAAAACAAATTATTTTACATCAAGTAACAAAAGACAAACAAACAACACAAGGATAAAATCATTAAGAAGATTAAAACTATACAAACTAAAACCTCATATTTGCTGGAAGCTATATGCTGCTGTTGGTCATTAAAATGAGTTTCTGGTGATAAGAATGTTTTGGACAGACTTGAAGCTGCACTGGTGAAGGTTCCTTCAAGTAACTTGAGCACAAATCTGATCTTTCATAATGAATAATTAACAACCATGTCAGCATCTAATAATTTATTATTTCTCTGTTGAAATCATTTTACCCTCCAAGCTTCTAAAATGTGGTATTCTTCTGATAGAGATTTTAAAACACTTAATGGAGTTTATACCCATCAGGATAAAGAAGATTAAAAGCACCAGTTAATACCTTCTATTTTGAGCTTTAAACAATTTTTTGAGCTTCTTTTTTTTTTATATGATGGTCTTTGTTTTGCTGAAAGATCATCAGCTCATAAAGGTCCAGAGAGTGCCCCCTGGTGTGATACATAAGTAAGCACACAGGGACCCACCCAGGAGGAGTGCTCCTTCATTTGGTGCTGGTTGCTGTGGGAGCCGCTGGTGTTCCCACGCCAGAAGCAGTTCTGGCAGAGCTGATAACCCCGGCAGCGGAGGCAGCGATAGCGGAAACCAGTGATCCCATTACTGCGGCAGTAGGAGCAGGAAACTGGATGATAGACTGAAAAAAACAAAACAGGAGATAATTAAGAACCATTTAAGTTGAGGCTCTAATCTAAATACACACCTAAGACAATAAAAAACAGCTAAAATAATGAAAAGAAACTAAAATTAAATAAATATAATAAATCACATTTCCCACTGGTGTTTATATACAAAACAATGTTTAATCGTTTTTAAATTTTGTAAAATAGAAAAAAAAAAGGTTGTGCTTTTTATCAACTAGTAAATCATTTAAAACAACCCGTGTGGCTTGGGTGTAAAAAGAAAAGATTAAGATGTGAGGTTGAAGATAAATGAAGACATAAAATGCCCATTATTTGTATGGAGCCATAGACAATTGAGGTGATGCTTATAACATCAGGAATATTTCAAATTAAACCCTTCTGCTGCATTTTTATCCAACTAGTTGCTAGTTGCAAAACAAGAATCTGAAACATTTTGTTTTTATCTTATTACTATTTTATGGAGCTTAACAATCATTTCAGGCTATTTTTATATGAGCCAGTAACCACTAGGATGCTGGTTTAAATTGTTTTTTTTTAAAAAGCCATAAAAAAAAAGCTATTATCCTTTAAACAAAATCGATATAGATGCTCTGTATCCTATTAAAATTTTTCGCTCTGGCCTGGGCCTTCTGCGTTTGAGTTAGAGTTAGACCAATGCATCAGCCGGAGAAGATTTTAAGCCAATATGTATCGGCCGACATGTGCATCTGTTGGCCGATGCATTAGTGCATTCAGCAGCCATGCCTAGAGTCACATGACTGCAACTTTGCTCCCGCCATCATAAATGAGAAAAGCATATTACAACATTTAACAGAAAAAAATACTAAAACACTGGGTCAGGTCCAAATTGCGGAAGGATTCCCTGGATCTAACGTGGGTAATTTTGCATGTGCATGAGTGCATACAGATAAATGTGTGGGACGTTCTGCGTGTGCTTACCGTGCTCCACATTGGCCATGCGGTGCATCAGAGGAAGCCAGACGAGACATTCGGGAGGCTCAGCTACAATGTCTAAGAACATGTTGAGCATCACACGTTTCTACACATAAAGAAAAAAATTATAAAAAAAATTGCAAAGAAACATCACAACCAACATAATCAACAGTCATTGTTTATCTTTTATTTTCTACAAGGAAGATTTAAAGAGAAGCAGCAGGTGTGTTCAGATCAGATGAATAAAGCATACGTACCTGTTGTGGGAAACAGGAGCGTGCCACAGTGTGGGTGTATCCAAACGATGGTCCTTCATGTAGAGCAGTGGGCAACTGAAGAGCCTCTCTTAAAAAACTGTCAAACTTAGACAGAACTAAGACCCCCTTGGAGTCAGACACCTGAGAAAACACATCTATAAACAGAAATACTAGTTTAATCAGAATCAGATGAGAATCAGAAATACTTTAATAATCCCAGAGGGAAATTACTTGATTATATTATACTTAATTATATAACCATGTATCTAAATATCTGAACAGAGAGCTTACACAGTAATATATACCTCTCTAAAGTTTTCTACCGCTGTAAGTTTTTTCTTTTTTCACCCTTTTAATGTTTCAGATCAGGAAAAAACTGGAATTAAAGCAAGAAGCACTTTTCCCCACGACGATTTCACTAAGAGATAACAAAATCGATACGAACGCATGTGAAAACATTATCAATTTAATGCAGTTAGCCATTCACTGTACCTCTGCCTAATTACTGGTAGATTTGTTGGATAAAAAAAGTAATCATTAAAATAGAACCAGACAGTACGAAGCAGGATAAATGTAACAATTTATGTCAAAATCTAATCTAAGAAAAGACTTGAATGATGCCTATTGGTCTGAAAGTGTTACAAAGCCATTTCTAAAGCTTTGGGTCTCTGGCAAATTACAGTGAGAAACATTATCCACATATGGGGAAAACAGGAACAATGTAATCCTTCCCAGGAGCTATCAACATAAAAAAAGAAAACATCCTGAGTGAATAAGTGGCTTGTCTAAAGGGTCACAACTGAACCGTATTTTCGCGACTATAAGGCGCATATAAATGTCTTTTTTTTTCCTCAAAATGTGCGGCGCGCCCTATAGTGCGGTGCGCCCTATGTGTAATGTTACTGCGAACGTTGTTGAGACCACCATGAGAACGTTAAAGGGGGAAGTGTGGCCGTGGATTGTGTATAAAAGAACAGGTATGTGCTTTATGCAGAACATTGTTGTCTTAACAACCCTGAAAATTGCAAAGAGACACGCCTATAAAGCACAGTTTAAACTGAAGGCTATCAGCTACGCAGAGGAACATGGAAATCAAGCAGCCGCGAGAGAATTAAAGATTAATGAATCAATGGTTCGCAAGTGGAGGAAGATGGAAAACGAACTCCGACAGGTGAAGAAGACGCAGCTGAGTTTCCGCGCTGGCCCGAGTTGGAGGAAAGACTCGAGCGGTGGATTATCAAGCAAAGAACGAGGCCAGCGGGGGCCAGTGTTTCGACGGTCACTGTTCGACTAAAAGCAGTAACGCTAGCGGAAGAAATGAAAATTGAACATTTTCAAGGAGGTCTGTCGTGGTGCTTTCGTTTTATGAAACAGTGCCGGAAAGTGACTCTGACAGCGAAGATGGGGAAATTGGCAAGTCTGATTTAGCGCAGCTGTTTAATTCAGAAAACGCGGATGATGATGACTTCAATGGGTTTTAATTAAGGATGCACGATATTGGGATTTTGGCCGATATCCGATATGCCGATATTTTAAAACTCATGTAGCCGATAACCGATATCGATACCGATATTAAAGCTGGATAAAAATAAGTAGTCATTGAAAATAGCAGTTTTGTTATCCATTTCTGACACTTTGAAAAATAATATACTCAAATGTATTTTCATATGCCGATATCAAATTGATTTTTAAAAACACGGTATTGATCTATTTTACTTTCAAAATCTCGTGAAATTTCATTGTTCTGTTACAAACTCTCGTGATATTTTGCAATTTCTTGTGAGATTTTGTTAGTAAAATAGGTTGATACAGCGTGAATATATCAACATATAAAAATATGGCAAAATTTTGTGAATTTTCGGGGGATTTCGTAGCATAACGATGACATATAGCAATATTTCATTAGTAAAAGAGATTGATATGGTGTTTTAAAATGGCAATATATCAGCATATGAAGATATTGTGATATTTTAATGTATCAATATTTTTTCCCTCGTCTTTAGAAGTTTTTAAGTCTGTAAAAAAGAAGTTTTTGAGGAAGAAGAAGTAGTATTTATATATTTTTTTAGACTTTAGAAACTCAGAAGCTGATCAAATATCAGGTTAAATATCGGTGGGGTGGCCGATGTCCGATATTCAGTTTTAAGGCCGATACCGATAGGGGGCCGATTATATCGTGCATCCCTAGTTTTAATAATACTTTATAATAAATACTTGAATAAAGCACAGACATACTCAGTTTTGCTCCCGCTCTATTTTTAAATACGCAGTAGAGGTATTTAAACGTAGTAGAGGACATGTACCGGTATATAAAACCCGCGCCCTATAATCAGTTGCACCTTTTGTGTGTGTTAAATACAGTAATGGCACACATAACTGAGACTGCGCCTTTTAGTACGGTGCGCCTTTAGTATGGTCGTAATAAAATCTGTGGTTATGGTCAAACAACTGGGTAAGAAATGGCTTTGCTGGGATGTTTGAAAGACAAAACCTCTGATGATTAGAAAATGACACAAAGCAACACCCAAATAAAAAAAAATTGAATATTGAAGCTCCTTAAAACTTTTGTGAAATTCCTTTGTGGACTTAAAAGATGAACAATTATTTATTTTAAAGGTATGTAAATCTGGAACACACAGCTTTTTCCCTTCGCACTCAATGGTGCAGCTGGACAACAATAATAATAAAAGCACTTTTAAAAGACCAAAGGAAGGATTTTGGAGTGGCCTAGTCAAAGTCTGGTCTCAAATCCAACAGAGCGTATGAGGTATGGTAGGAAACCAGCTGTAATCTCAAAATCCAAGGCCTTCAGCTTCATGTTAAACTAATCTGGAAGATTTGCTGTGGGGTTGATTACTTTTTAACATAGAGCCATGTTGGTTTGATTGCTTTTATTTAATAAACTACTTTTTGTTTATCTTTGTCAAATTTACTCCCTTCAGACTTCTGTTACTGTAAGCTAATTTATTTATTCCTTTATATAAAACCATATTTCAGTGTTTTTAAAGTAATGTTTAAAGTATCTGAGCAAGCTAAAACAATGACTGTTACTCACAGCGCAGTTTATCTATCAGCTTCCCTCCGCAAAGTATAGAGAGCATCGCCTTCACAGAGAGAACCGTCAGACGGCTTTCTGGATCACTAGAAGAAGAGAAACAATTAATTTCCATGTCACTAAATAAATGTTCACTCTTATATTAAAAAGGTTACCAATCAACGGCGGCCAGAATAAATTCGACCAGGAGGACGGTGCACTCTTGCGGGTTGATGATGTGTGTGGTGGGAAGGCGTTTGCTGAGCTGGTTGAACAGGGAGGAAACCAGGTTCTCCAGTCGGGTAACTGAGATACCTGCGTTGAGCTCTACTGCGTTCAGCCCGGCGTCCCGAACCGCCTCGATCACATTGTAAATGTCGATCAAATGCACTGGAAGGAGGACGACAGGAGATTAATCAGCTACCTCTCCGCTTCTATTGGATGGTATACCAGTTTAAACATGCAATGATGATACCCACAGTTGCATCTCTTCTGTATAAATCTGAGCTTGCAGGCAGTTCGATATGTGGACAGACAAATAGAATCAAAGTCCTTTTCCCCTGTGGAAAAAGGAGACATCAACTAAAGTTTGGACAATAGTGATAGTCTTCTCCAAGTTATTTTCTTATAAACTCCTAAATCATATGAACCATGATGGGAATGTGAGAGAAAAATATATACTAAAGGTAATTCATCTCACCGAGCTCAATGAAGATCTGTCTCCCCTCTGCTCTCGCAGGAACCCTCCCTCTTTCTCTCTGGGCTCCTTCCGCCATCACCATCCTACATAAAATGCACAATCATATGGAAAAATTTCAAACAACAATTCAAAATTAAACAATTGATTTTAACAGAGGACATTTTGAAAGCTAAACTCAAACCATCAGTGTTCATCAGTTCCAGAAGAGACTATATTATCTCATTCAAACACTGTTTTGTTGCTTTTAGAAGACAAGCAGTAATGACTCTAAAAGTCCGAATTTGTCGTTTTATAATTTCTTCCTAAGTTAGTTTTGTAGCAAAACTAACACTAAAACCAAAGTTCATGAAACAAAAACTGTTTTAGAAGTAGGTTTAGATTATTTAAGTCATTTGATCAAAGTAGTTTGTAACAGTTTGTCAATTTTTGTTTCTGAGATATTGTAACATTTTTAAATCCATCAAGATCTTTCTCAAGAAGTGCCTCCCTCCCTGTCAAAAGTTCATACTTCTGTTTCTTTATTTGCACAGTTCTAACTGATTATAATCTGGCTGCTGAATAAATAAATAAACAAATGTAAAAAGGAAATAGAAAGATTAATGAATGCAGCAATGAACAAATAAATGAACTGAGGAATAAATACATACATGGATAGATACATAAATGAACAATTAAAAGGATAAAATAATTAATAGAAAAGGAAAAACGAGCGAATGAATGGAGAAATAATACATTGAAATAGGGCTGAAACAATTAATGGTGATTAATCGATTATTGAAATAGTTGTAAACTAATTTAGTAATTGATTAATAGTTAATTGGAATATAGAGACTGGAAAAACATGCCTTTAGCTGACAGAGCGACCCACTTAGAGCAGTAATTGTATCAAAATTAAAAAAAAAATATATATATATATATATATAAACATTTTGCATTTAAGATTTAAAAAAAAAAAACATTTTTGTGTGTCAACATGCTCTATCCAATCTCCTAAAATAGAAGAGTTTTTGTTTCACCTGGTTTATTTCTGCAAAAAAATCTTCTTTAAGGAACCTTTGGCAATTAACCATAAAAAATAATCTATAGATTAATTGATTTGCAAAATAATCGTTAGTTGCAGCCCTACATGGAATTGTTGAATGCACACAAGAATGAATGAATGAATGAATATATCAAATAAATAAACATTTAAATGAATAAAATGATGATTTAATTGATAAATAAATGGATATATGAATGAATGCACAGATAAAGAAATGGACAGATTAAAAAATGCAGAGATGTTAAATAAATAAACAAAGGAACAAATTAATAACATAATAAATGAATGGATGAACAAATGTGTGCATCTCAGAGAATCAATAGACAGACTGATTACATACAGACAGAATGTTCTTACCATGTAAAGCAAGTTCAATACTTTTCTAAACTTTTGCAGATTAAGTAGAAACACTGATAGGAGCTACTGGCAGATCCATCCTAGTCTTCGCTTGCTTACTGAGGCAGACTGGTCTGTGGATTGAATCAACATGATCTTTTTTCTCAAACTAAAGCCAATTACACAAAGAGGGTAAGTATATCTAAATATTACTATCCAACGATTCTCCATCTAAACAAGCCAAATTAATAGTACGCAAGAAAATAAAAAAAGACTCCAAGTACTTATCTACTTTCTATTTTTAGACACTGACTCGTTGAATCAAAAACGGGCAGAGTTCTCATTAAACAGGCATAGTAGCAAGGGCAGCTGAGGAAATGTACTATGCAGGGTGTTAGTGTGACAATCTGACAGACAGAAGGGGGGGAAAGGAATAGATAGAGGGAGAAAAAAGGAAAATGTGAGAAAAAGATACAAAAATATATAAAGATAAGCTGAACAAAGAAAAGGAAAGTTAGTTACTCGAAGCATGTAACGGAAAAGACAAAGTTAGGCAGAAATATTCTTTGTACAAACGTGGTGACAAGTCAAGCCCCCCAGCTCACTGACGCACATTCCACAGAGGATTTGAAGGCTTTCAAGGAGACTCTGTGCTTCATCCAGACAAAATGAGGATCCCTCATTTTACTTTCTCAGGATTAAACTTATTCCCATGCATTCAAACTGTTTCATTCTCTTTTAACAGAAGCAAGTAATGTGAATAACCATTTTAAGAGAGACACTAAACGACCACAATCTACTGATTTACAGATTTTGCTCATTATTTCAACCTTGAAGTTGAAGCAGGTTGAAGTTGTTATCCTCAGGAAAAGAGCAGGTTTTGTTATCTAGAGTGGTTCAATAAGATCTAGATCAATCTATGACACCAGTCCTGCCAATAAAAACAGCACGCAATTTATTTCAACTCGTCAGAGTGTGTAACATCAAAAGCATTTTAATTTTAGAAACTAAATCTCTCAAAATGATTAAAGTTTAAATCATTATCTAGAGAGCCTAAAAATGAACCAACTACATTTCAAAACTTAAAGCAGAGGGATGTAATCACCCCTTTTTATGGTCGATTATAAACTGCCTTAAAAGTTTTACTCATGAAAACTAAACAGAACCATTCATTCGTTGACAGTGCATTAGCACTAGTTTGAGTTTTGACTGCAACTAAATTGATTTGGTTTGGCTTTCCTGCTGAAAAAAAAATATTTTGTGTGTTGATAATTGCTTTTTTCATTAGACTCTCCTATAATTCGATTTATGTGAAGTGAAAATGAAATGACTGTAATTTGGGCTAAAAGATTTTGCAAAAACAAAACAAAGAAAGAAAACTTAAGAAAAAAATTTGACTGATTTCCCTTACCGCTAACCATAAGCACGTAAATGTTTAATTCTAAGTTTCTTTTGTTTCATGGCCTTGAAACCTTTCTTATCCAGTTTAAAAGTCAATCAATTGAAGGATTGAGGTTTTGAGCACAACCAAATTTGTTGCCCTTACATTTAGTTCTGGCAGACTACATGTGGGTAGTCCATCTCTCCTTGTTTCATGATGATAAACATGTATGCAGTTGACTTTTTGTATAAAATATTGTATAAAAATAAAACCTGTCACTTTAGTTAAGCTAACAGATCTAAAAGTTACTCTTAAAATAAGATAGATGGGTAATAAGGATGCTGTTTGGGACATTAGGTGTCACATTGCAGTTTCTGAGGATTAGGAATAACTTGTAATGGCTGAAAATTAACCAGGGAGGAGCATAAATACTTGGAGAAACCAAGAACTATTTTCTCCGAGCATGTTTGTTGGGATTTTTTCCCCATCAAATACCAGTGGTTTGGTGCTATTAACAATAACTAAGCTTATCCCTCTAACTTATTTCAGTACATGGAGACAAAACAAATGTACCTACTGCTGTTATTGTAACTTAAACTGAACTAAATTTTCCATTTTCTCCTGTTCAAGTAGAAATTAAACCATGACACATATCAAGCATATTTGTAGATTATGGAATGCCAAAGAAGCATCAGTGGCTTTGGAAAGCTTTTTGGAAAATAAACCTTCAGCTTCCGAGGCACTAAAGCAGCTAATTTACATAGAGTTAGCTGTTCTGACCAGAAGGCAGTTTGCTTTGTAAAAGAAAAATACACTTTCCATTTAGATTATTTAAAATTCAATGGTTTCAAGCTAAAAAATGGGAAATAACAGTTTAACAATGCCTGAAATGTTGTATAGGAGGAACCTTTTCAGGTTGGCTCTACACATCAACCAATACTTCCTACACCAGAGGCTCACTCTGCTCAGAGTGCCACTCTCCACCTGCCAGTGGACTACAGGCTTCCTGACGCCGTTTGGAAGAAAGACGAGAAGAAACTGCATTTCCTACGGCAACTCAAGAAGAACAACCTTTGACAGGAGTTACCGGTTATCTTCTATTCTACCATTATTCAATATGTTCTTTGTTCTTCCATCTCAATGTGTTTTGGCTTATCCAATAAACAGGACAGATCATGAAAAAAAAACAGGTATGCAAAGTAGATCTTCAGGACATTCCTGAAAGGACATTATCAAGGACAGATCAACAACCTGAGAGGCTCCTTCTGCGTGATATTTCTACAAGCATGTGGCTCAGACAATACATATATTGAAATTAAAATATGTGTAAAATAATTCAGCTATAGAATCAATCTACACGTATAATGTTTTATAACTGAAAGGTTGGTAAAACGGGTGGATGAATGTCAATAACAAGCTTTATGACCTCATTAATGGTCACATAGATGAGCCAGAAATAGCACTGTGACTGCTCCCAATAGTATTCTTACCAGTTACCACACTGGTTCCCCACAGTGAGCTTATTTCTATCCCAGCCTTGGTGATAACTACTCCCAGTCTGCCTGTCCATGTCTGTGAGGGTGAGTAAAGCTGACATGGGAGAACATTTGGCCGGCGAGTCCGTTTCCTATTTTAGCTGTAAAAGCTTTCAATCCTTAAAGATACAATTACTCTCTCACAACTCTCTCAGAGGACTGGAAAGGGCTTGGCTGTCATTTTCCCATTCACTGAGTAGATCCTGGTTACAACTACTCAGAGATTTCAACAAACTTTACCTGATATAGAATAGTGCTACAATACAATCGTTGTTCACTGTTGGGTTTAGTGTTGCTACGATACCAATATCGGGCGGGGGCTCCGATCTAGCACTAAAATGTTGGTATCAGTATCGGCGAGTACCAACAAATAGGGCACCAATACCATTTTGAGAGCCAAAAGTTTATTCAACTATTGTCATCCATTCCAGGTAGGCAATTAGCCATTTTAGTTGTTTTCCTGCTTCACAAAGGTATGCAGCAGCTTGACAAAGCCATAATGGCAATTATATTACATCCAAGTAGTATGCAGTTCTTCATATATTTGTATATATATATATTAGGGATGGGACGATTTATGAAAACCGTCCGAACCGTTTGGTTTGACTGTCTCGGTTCGATTCGTGTGTGTTTCGTTCGGTTCATGCGCTGCTCCTTTTTCTCATAGGCGAAGCGTTTACACTTCAGAGCAGAAGGTGGCGGTAATGAGACCAAAGCCAACCACCAGTAGTAAACAAGAAGAAGAAGTGAAGCAGCGTAGCAGGGAAAAAAATCAGTTGTTGTGGAGAATTGTGTGGGTATGGCGAGTTCTTACACGCTTATCCCAACTGGGGTCGCACGGGGTGCTAGGCAACCATTCACACACACCTTCACGCCTAAGGAGAATCTAGAGAAGCCAATTTACCTAACAGTCAGGTTTTTGGACTGTGAGAGGAAGCCGGAGTACCCGGAAAGAACCCACACATGCTCAGGGAGAACATGCAAACTCCATGCAGAAAGACCCTTGGCCGGGAATCGAACCCAGAACCTTCTTGCTGCAAGGTGGCAGTGCAACCCACTGTGCCACTGTTACAGGGTTACTGTAAAACTATGAGCTTTTTCTGAATTATTTTAACTATAAATAATTAATTAAAACATAAACCTTTAACATTGAAAGACTATTTCAGATCTTTCCATACAGAATTTTCTCTAAACCAGCTCTTAACAACTGCAGCATCATAATTGATAAAAATATATCCAGATATATTCACAGTTGCCATAACGCCTTCGAAATCACTCAGATTATTTTACACAATAAAACCAGCAAAAACTAAACCATGGTCTATTAGGCTGCACATTAGCAGCTGAGTTTGGGCACCAAGAAACAATTACAGCCGATTCTAACCTTTAATTTTTCTCAGAATTGTTTAAATTCTTAATTTGCCATTCCTTGTTTCGATGCCCAGTAGGTTGACCGGAGGAAGAAGCCATTGGATAGCAATGAAGAAGTATCTGCAGAAGTGCAGGGCCCTATCTTTGAAACACTGCACCCATGTTGCACTTCTGCAGGTTCCCAGACGGAATTAGTTCCCCACGTATTCTGAGCACACCTTGTGCAGGGAGAGGGGGTTCTTTGTTATACTCGTCTCTTACATCTTACTCTAACACATACCCACTTCATTTCCAACAAGATCTTAATAGAATGAAAGTTAGTGTAGCTTTATTCTTTGTGTATTTTATCTGGGATCTGTTTCATAAAAAGCCCCCTAACTGAAGACCAAAGTACAAATTAACGTAAAGTAAGTAAAATATCCCTACTTCCAGGCGTAGTTTAGGTAGTGTGAACTATGCAGGGGTAATCAATTCTCCGGAGAAACTTTCTTTGGCAAAACATCTGTTGCACTTTTTTTTTCTTCTAAGCCTCCAGCAATCAGCATTGCATTGTGCCGCTGTCAGACTTGGTTAAAATACTAAAACTTAGCCTTATTTGGTATAAGAACCTGCAGCATCAGCCACAGGATATACCTAAATGTGTTTTATCCATCCATCCATTTTCTGTCACGCCTATCCCAAGTGGAGTCGCGTGGGGTGCTGGTGTCTACAGCTACAGTCGAGAGGCGGGGTTCACCAGGTCGCCAGTCCATCGCAGGGCAACACATAGACACACAGAGACAAACAACCATTCACACACACACCCACACCTAAGGACAATTTAGAAAAATCAATTAACCTAACAGTCATGTTTTTGGACTGTGGAAGGAAGCCTGAGAAGCCGAGGTACCCGGAGAGAACCCACGCATGCTCAGGGAGAACATGCAAGCTCTATGCAGAAAGACCCCGGGCTGGGAATCGAACCCGGAACCTTCTTGCTGCAAGGCAGCAGTGCATTAAAAGGCTGCAAGGTGGCAGTGCATTAAAAGGCTCAATAGCAGCCTTTTGATGCTGCTATTGAGCAGCATTAGAAAAACTAAATTCTTGATTAGCATTTTGGTATTTTTTTCTAAATAACTTCTAAAAGAGGTTCACCCAACACATTTTGTTTACATAAATGTACCAATTCAGCTTTTGAACCTGACTGGAGCCAAGAAGTAGCCTTATAAAAGAGTAGCACTGTGTTTGGCTTTAACATAGACCGCATAAATGCAGGGCATGATGCGGAGAGGGCAAGTGTTTACAGCACTGCAGACTGCATGTTTCCTCTCGGTGCCTGTGTGGGAGCTGATTCACACCTGCGTTGCACCATGGTGTTTTATTATGGCTGACATTTGCTGAGCTTACAAAAAAATAAATAAATAACAGAAGTCCTAAGCAAACACATTAAACACAAGGTTTGCAGCTCAACAATGAACACATAGAAGCTAAATCTGGACACAAAAAGAGAGCAGCATAATTCAGTTCTCCTAATTAACACTGTTTTCTGCATGCCTGTGTAGTTACTGTGCATAAGAGTGTGGTCATACCTCTCAGAGTCAGGAGGTCACGTAGGACTGGGGGGGTTTCAATAAAGGACAGCTATATAGAGCCACAGGGAGAGAGTGAAAAAAAAATATTGTTAGGATGTAGAAAATAATGTAAAAGGTTATTTTGGGAAACAAACATACAGGAATGACAGGATTAATAGAAAAGCATATTTCATCGTCATCATTTGGAGTTTAAAGAACTTTAAGAAATGTACCACTTTCCTTATAATGACCAAAAAATCTATTTACACCAAAAAATGTAAATCAGGGATAAATCAGTCATTGACTTCAAAATAAAGACCTTCTGCTACATGTTGAAAGAAACAAAAATGTGAAAGTGTTTTTTCCCATTATCTAACGTGATGCTCTGTCGGAAATAAGAAGAGGAAGTTAATACAGCACCAACAAAAACAAAGTCGACATAATCCATCTTACAGTGCGAACTATGACTACCCAAACCAATCTAATTTTAACATCTTTATAATCAGTTATATTTCTATCACAGTTGATTTAGTGTTTGAGTTTTAACAGATCGGATATTTAATACATTTCCATCAAAAAAGGCTTGTTTAAAGAGATATAAAAAAAACGTACCCTAATTAACCTGGCACTGCGTGAAAAACCAAAAGCCACCTAGATCTAAAGATCTATTGTCCAGTTCATGTAACAACTCCATTTAAACATCTGTTTTAGCTGGTAATGAGTTTTCTGTAGTGTTGTTAATCATTTCTGGTCCGCTCTTTGCTCTATAATTGCTTAATTAGAGCCTCACAGAACAGCTTTTAAGAACTATTAATGGGTTTAAAGTCCCAGCATCTCCACTGGATACGGGCAGGATTCGGGCAGGGCCCTCTAAAACCTTGTTTTCGTATGTTTTTTGTTCCATTTAAGGACAAAGATGCTGGTGTTGTTTAGATGCTGTTTAAAGCTAGCTTGTACATAAGATCACAAACTGGTAACTGGACATTTTTCTTCATCTAGTACCTGAAAAAGCAAATCCTTTCCATCATGCTACCACTGTGTTAGACTGTGGTGATTATGTTCTCTTTCTAAATTGTTGTTAGCTTATGCCAGATGTGATGGAAGGCAAACCTCCTAAAATATAGTATTTGTCTTGGTATACCGAACATTTTTCCAGGAGTGTTACTTGAATGTCAAGTTAACAGACGGCTCAGAGGAAACCTAAGTTTAAACTTGTTGTGCATTGGTGGTCCGTGTAAATGACAGGCAAACTGATCTCCTTTTGATAAAAAAATAAACTAAAGTGGGAAATAAGCAGTTTCCCAATAACCAATAAGAAAACGAGAAACAGAAAAGGGAAATGTGTAGGAACTCCACCAATGAAGGTTAAATACAAATCAAACGTTGCCCTCGTTTTCCAATTCCAAGTTTTCATCTTGAAAAATACTCTCAGAAGGTATAACAGTTTTTTATTTAGATTCAGGAGAAAAATAAAACAAAACAAAAAAATTGTTGTCTTGTTTTCTTATTATTTATTGGGAAACTTGTTTACCTAGCAGGCAATCATGTGTGCAGTACAGGTTCATAAATATATATTTTGTTTCACATATTTGATTTCTTCTTTTTTTAGTTCATATTTGAATCATTTGGGCATGACGAGTAGCCTTTGGCTTTTTCTTTATGCCTACTTTATGTTGTCAGACATTTTGATTACAATTAAGTTGTCATTTACAATTTCCTTTTTGTATTTACTCAAGTTGTATTTGGCCGGAGTAAACAGCACCTGTTCACAAAATAGTGCAAATAACTCAATAACTCAGAGTCCTTAAAGTTAACTTATGTTAATTATTAGTTCTGCTAACTTTTCAGCTCAGTTTGCTGTTACAAACTTTACTCATTAACAACCCCCACAACACTAATCAAGCTCTGAGTACTGCACTGATTAGCAACCTAAAAATAAGCTGCAATATTTTGTGATTAAATCCCAAACTAGGGGAAAAAAACAATTGAACCTGAAAATGTTGCAAAGTCTTTTTATAACAGCCTCAATTATCATAATTTACCATTTCAAATCTGTCTAAATGCCCCAGCTGTGAGCTACTGAATCCAACTGTGTTTATCTCCCTGCCTAATCATCCTCAAATAGATCATTTGTGCTGAAATCTGTTTTAGTGTATCAACTAAAAGAATTAGGCAACAATAAAAACATGGAACTGTAGTAGCTTTGAGGATATAAAAAGCGAGCATTACGTCAGAGTGGACCACCCAACCAGTACACCTGTTTGATAACAGCCACCCCACAGACTCTCCTCAGCACTAATAGACCTGCATTGAAGCAAGACAAATGGATCTGAAAACAAACACAAACCCTGCTTACCGGAGGTTTCCTCTTTTTTTCCAAATAGTGAAGGTAATCCAAGCTTCTCTTTGGTTTAAACACCCTGAAGCCTTGACTATAATCAAAAAGCCAGCCTCACTAGACTCACCTTGCTTCGAAGGTGAACCAAGTAGTTCAAAATGTCTTTTTTTCAAAGTGAAGAAGCACCATAAAGCATGGAAAAGGTCGTCTATCAGACCAAGGTGTACTAAAGAGGGTGTGTACTTGACTCCAAGTACACACTCCAGAACCATGTGACCAAATTACAGCTAGCAGCTGTCCGTCGTTGTCAACCTCTACACCGACAGGGCCCTGACCACCGAGAGAGTGCGTGTTAAATTTACATTAACATGTGCAGCAACTTTAGACGGCAGCATATCTGAAGAGCCTCTGAGCGCCATCTATCCTCTAAATGTTTACTGTATCACACAAGCTATCATGTGCACCTTCACTGCAAAATCTCTGGAAACCTTGATTAAATCCACCAAATTAGCTTGGAAGTACAGGAGAGTGAGGTCGGTGGGGCTGACGGCAAAATCAAGCACTAAACTCACTGTTCAGAGTCGTTGGACATATACAGTGTCACAAGTTTTCACAGTGCTGCACTTATGCCTCATTAAATATGTGACAGCCGTTTTTCCGAATAGTATGAAATACATATCTTTCCTTAAAAATTCTTAACATTGTGCCCCATTATGACAGTAAATTATTATTTTTTGAATAACTGAAGCATGTTTTTAATTATGTGTATAATAGGGCAGTGTATCAAGATTTTGATTTGTAGTTTATTACCACTTTCTCTAAGCTAACTATAAGAAAACAATCTAAAAAATGACAAATAAGCAGTCACTCCCATTAGGCTTGTCCCGATCCGATCCACGTATCGGATCGGGACGCCGATATTGGCAAAAAAATGCGTATCGGCAAAGCATGTAAAATGCCGATCCAGACTGCCGATCCAGTTTTAAAAAAAAAATCCGGTCCGTATTTTCCAGTTTCGCCGATTGAAACGATCCATTCCACTATTTTGCGCCAGTGTTCCCCTGTTTTGCATTTTTATTAAAACTTACAGTAATACTTGCACCTTTAACTGTTTACGGTTTTACTGCTCACTGTGCAATTTCAGATTGCTATTCGTAATTTTGTCCAGTTTGTGTTTATCTCTTAATAAACAGGTAAGTTTGTTGTTACCAAGCATTGTGTTTTATTCAATCTCACCTAATTTAGCTGGCTAGATGTTATCAAGAGTACTTTTCAACATGAGTCTTACAACTAAGGCTAAATACTTTAACTTAAACTTAAATACATGCTCGGATAGGCTGGTATCGGCCAGTATCGGTATCGGATCGGAAGTCCAAAAACAATATCGGTATCGGATCGGAAGTGCAAAAACCTGGATCGGGACATCTCTAACTCCCATATATAGCTGTTGTGTTGAGCTATTTATGCAGTTGGTGGCAGGCTTTTGTTAATCTCTAACATTTTCCAGGACTTCTTTTTGATTTAAGAAACATAATTAACTGTTCCAAGTGTTCCATCCTATAATACTTTGAGTCAGTTGCTGACGAGCATCTAGGATTAATTGATTGGTGGTGTCACATCAATTGTCTATAGACCTACGTGATAGGACTGTTTCAACATGTAAACTAGCTATCTACCATCTGCTGAAGGTCCTTATAAGCACAGTGGGCTCCTTTCTTAATAAATGGAAGATGTTTGCCATCTAAACCCAGCGACTCAATGGAGAAGGGCCTTAGTAAAGAAGGTGACCGAGAACCTCATTGTCAGAGTTCTAGTGTTCCTCTGTAGGAAGGGAGAATCTTTGCACCAATAAGGCCGGTAGGATAGATTGACCAGAGTTACTTTTATAAAAAGACAGCTCATCTAAAGTTGTCCAAGAAGACACTAAAGAAATATGTAACCATGAGAAACAAAAGCTTCTGCTCTGATAAGACACAGATTGAACACCGGTGTGAATAAAAGTTGTCATGTAGGAAGAAAGCCAGGCACCACTCGTTACCAGGCCCAATACCTTCCCTACAGTGAGGCATGGTGGTAGCAGCATCATGCTAAGGGTTTATCGGCAGCAAAAACTGGCGCTATAGTCCGGATAGAGGGAAAGCGTAATGCAGCAATGTAGATAGACGCTCAGAATGAAAACTCCAGAATGCTCTAGACCTCAGGCTGGGGGGACGGTTCATGTTTAAGGACAACAACCCAAAGCACCAGCGATGGGAATCGAAAACCGGTTGCTGTTCAGAACCGGTTCAGTGTGTTCCAGTTCCATGGCACCGTTTGGCAGCTCACTTAACGATTCTCTTAACGGTTCTGTACGATGTGACCAGGCACAAGTCTAGAAAAGCAAAACAAACAAAACGCCGTCCCATCGGGTAAAGCGATAGAAAGTATGGCTTCATTTTAAGGAAGAGAAAGATGGCAACAAGGCGCTTTGCAATCATTGTAAAGTGGCAATTACATCCGCGGGAGGAAATACATCCAACGTGCAGAAACACCTGCGTACACAACATGGCATACATTTTAACGAATGCTGTGTTTTTGATGCTTCTGGACAGAAAAAAAAGTTACGACCAGAATGGAAGGCAACTCTGGTGGTAAGTAGCTAGTTTTCTATCACTGGCTGTGCTTAATGTGGTTCCTAGTAAATCATATGTCATTTCTGGACATAAACCAATTTCCTTCCTCTCTTTGGGGTT